GAGATACTTTTTTCCAAAGTTGACATCACAGCTAAAAATTACAAAAAAACAAATTATATATATATATATTATATATATTATATATATATAAAGACCAATAATGGCAGTATGTTATGCATCAATAGCAGCAACAGCTTTTCCAGGTTCTGCAGTCATTTGAACAAAATTGTAGAGACATCCAGCACTCTCCATTAAAAAAAAAAAAGTAAACAAAATTCCAGAAAAACAGCACAAGTTCTGTTACCCTTGTGGTACCTGGCACCATTTTTTTAAATTAGCTTCTTAATCATCATCTGGAAGGAAACCATTCTGAGCAACATCATTAAAAATAGCTCTGATAAAGCACGGTCACTACTATGTATCATAAAGCAGGTCCACATATGAGTGAGTACATATCATGTTTGACTTTTTGTGATTGCGTTACCTGGCTCAGAATGGTTTCTTTGAGTTCCATCCATTTTCCTGCAAATTTCAAGATTACATTGTTTTTTTTCTGCTGATTAGTACTCCATTGTGTAAATGTACCACATTTTCTCTATCCATTCATGGGTTGAGGGGCATCTAGGCTGCTTCCAGTTTCTGGCTATTACAAATAATGCTGCTATGAACATGGTTGAACAGATGTCCTTGTTATATGAATGTGCTTCTTTTGGTTATATGCCTAGGAGTGGAATTGCTGGATCTTGTGGTAGACTGATTCCCATTTTCCTGAGGAATGGCCATACAGATTTCCAAAGTGGCTATACAAATTGGCACTCCCACCAGCAGTGGAGGAGTGTTCCCCTTTCTCCACATCCTCTCCAGCATAAACTGTCATTGGTGTTTTTGATTTTAGCCATTCTGACAGGAGAAAGATGGTATCTCAGAGTTGTGTTGATTTGCATTTCCCTGATGGCTAAGGATTTTGAACACTTTCTTATATGTCTTTCAGCCATTTTAGATTCCTCTATTGAGAATTGTCTATTTAGTTCTGTACCCCAAGAACAGATTCTTGAATTCTTTGTATATTTTGGAGATCAGCCCTCTGTCAGATGTGGGGTTGGTGAAAATCTTTTCCCAGTCTGAGGGCTGTCGTTTTTGTCTTGCTGACTATGTCCTTTGCCTTACAGAAGCTTCTCAGTTTCAGGAGGTCCCATTTATTAATTGTTGATCTCAGTGTCTGTGCTACTGGAGTTATGTTCAGGAAGTAGTCTCCTGTACCAATTAATTCAAGGGTATTTCCCACTTTATCTTCTAGTAGGTTCAGTGTGACTGGGTTTATGTTGAGGTCTTTGATCCATTTTGACGTAAGTCTTGTGCAGGGCAAAAAGCTTGGGTCTATCTGTAGTCTTCTACATGTTTGCATCCATTTATGCCAGCATCCTTAGGTGTACTTTTAATCAATCTCCTATTATGTGACTGATATTGTGTACAATATCCTGTCTAATATGGTTTTTATCTTTTCCCTTATGTTCATGATCTTCTATGGAATTTGTAAGTTTCTCAATAGCAAAACTCTATGCATAACAATTTAAAACAACCAAAGTCACCCAACGGGACAGACAGTTCAGTTAGGAAAGGGTAGTTTAAGGAAAAACAAGAATACTCAAAAGCGCATAAATGTCCTCTAGCTCTTCCCATGTTCTGAGAGCTAATGTACTGTAACAATTCATCAGTCATTCTAATAGTCTTTTAACTTCTGTCAGAAAGCCTACTAAATACTACCATCTTCAATGCTTAAACCCTTTTTACATGACTGTGACTTCACCCTAGCGAGCATGGTCAGCGGTACCTCTAATCAAGGTTTCTCCCTACACTTCCTATCGGCTTCACAAATTGTGCTGTGGGTGCATGAGAATGTTAATGTCTATATGCAAATAATTTTCCTTTTTTTTCTTTAATTAAGAAGTCTGGGATCTTTGGGGTAGTCTGTGGAAGAAGCGGCTTCTCTGTTTCCTGTGAGACAGCCCAAACTGGAAGTGAGGCAGGCTATAAACTCTTAAGGCCCACCCTCAGTGATATACTAATTCCACTCCTAAAAGTGTTATAGCCTTCCCAAACAGTGCCACCAGCTAGGGACTAAGTGCTCAAATACATGAGCCTATGGGAAACATTTTTCCTGGTAGAGATGTCTCCATGGTTATGAGCACTGGTTGTTACTCCAGTGGACCCAAGTTCTATCCCAACACTCACATGGCAGCTCACAGCCACCTGTAACTCAAGTCCCAGGGGATCTGATGCCCTTTCCTGGCCTCTTTTGACACAGGCACACATGAGTACACAGAAATATATGAAGGCAAAATATTCATACATATAAAATAGTTTTTTAAATCCTAATGTATGTAATCGTTGCATAGTCTTATTTAAAATAAATAAGAGTAAATCACAGTTTCTTATGGCCTAATGAAGCCGGATCTGTGAAGTGGCACCCACCCCCTCGGATTTGCTTCATGTACTTCCTGTTACCTGATGTGTAACTTCCTGTTACCTGGTGTGTGATGGATGCTCACAAAATGTTACTTAAAGCCACTGGAGTTCATTATAGGCTTGAAGGCTTGAGTGATTGGTTGGTTTTTGTTTTGTTTTAATTATTATTGTTTTTTACTCCTTAGGTTAAATTTTTTATTTTGTAATAATATAAAACAACATTTCATGTATCTTTTCCCCAGTTTCATAAATGGTAGTCTCTGACAGAATTCTAAAACAAGACATGGATGTTGCTGTGACCAAGATGCCAAATGTTTCCACCCCCTCAGTCATTCCTCATGTTATACTATTACAGCCAAACCAACTTTCCTTCACCTCTGCCACCTCCTTAAGCAAGGCAGCCACCACCACTCTCTTCTCTACTTGTATAGCTCTGTCATTTCAAGGATGTTATATGAATAAAACCTAATAGCATATAACTTTTTGTGAAAAAAAATCTCAGCATATTCTGTGAAAATTCATCCAGGTTGCTGTGTGTATACTCTGTTTACATTTTAATTGCTGAGTATTATTCCATGATACAAATATACTGCATGATGTTTAACCATTTAGCTATAATGTCTGTAGAGTTATTTCCAGAGTTTTGTAGTATACAAATTATAGTATAAATATTTGCATTTATGTTTTATGTGAGCATGATTCTCCACTTTTTTACAAGAAATTCCCAGGGATTTGGCTGCCAAATCATAGGATAGCTACATGCTCAGTTTTCTAAGAAACTGCCCAACTTCTCTCTCCAGTGGCAATGTCATTTTATATTCCTACATGTACATAGTATGAGTGGTCTCACTTCTCAACACCCTAAACAGCATATGATGTCACTGTTTCCCGTGTGTCTGTGTCTGTGTGTCAAGGTTGGGACTATTCTGAGGGCTGTATAGCTCTCTCACTGAGTGTTTAGTTTCCACGACCCTGGTGACTGACATGAGAAATACCTTGATCATTCACAAGCAGGTTCACTCTGTACATAAAGATCTAGGTAACACCTCCTCATTTTCCATAAAGAACAGGCTCGATGTACAGGGAGTTTCTATGTGACATTTGTACACTGCACACCTGGCAGATCTTGCAAGCATGTGCATCACCAAACACCCCTGCTAAATGAACACTCTGTAAGGAAAATCAGTTCCTGCCAGTGTCACAATGTGTTTTCCAGGGTTCTATAGCAGCCACGTTTCTGTCCTGCCTCACAGCAACTCCAGCATGAGGACTGCTTCTACAGTATAATAAATCCAGATAGCAGTAGTTTTGTTTTTACTACTTAGAAAAATTGTACATTTTGTTCTTCTACCAACTATTCTTTAAACCTTAAAATACTTTCTCTAGCTAGGAAAAAAAAGTGTACCACTGTAACTGGTTCCTTTATAACACTTAATTGTACATAGCAGATTCTCCAAAAAAACATAAATGGTCACTTGTCTAACGCCCTCAACTAATTGCCCACCAGAGTTCACCACAGTGCATAAATATTTCTTTGCATGTAACTGTGTTAAATACCACGTGTAGTGGTGACCACTCAGCATTGGCCCGGTCTAAGATTCTCTGGCATGCCTGTCTGAAGTCTCAGGTACTGTTAATGGTTTGTGATTAGAGAAGAAAGGGGCAGCATTGTCTAGGGAATACCTGGAAAAACACTTTCTTGAAGACTTTTGATGTAGACATAAAATATAAAATATTCTTGGCAGTTATTGATAAAAATACTCATTGTTTTCTGTACATAAAAAATGAATAAAAGCTGCTGAAGACTATTGAATTTTAAAGGCAATTTTTCAAGTAAGTGAGTCTTGGCCAATGGTTTTTTATTATTTTTAACAAATTATGAGAATTCAAATAACCATACTATTAAAGTATCTTAAAAGAAAAAAAATGACCTAATAGTAGAAAAAGATAGAAGTAAAATATTAGACATCTACTCTTCTAGACAAGGACTTGAAGTTCCAAAATAGATTATGTGAGTAAATGACAGTGAATTGTAAGTGTTGACATTGACAGTGTAATATAAATGGACCAGAGATTTGGTGCCATAAGGATAAGTTAATTGCAATGGGTCTAGCCCAGATGCAACATAGTTCATAGCTTGGATTCAAAGAGTTCATCAGTGTATACTGATTATAACAAGCTATTGAAGGTCTATTTGCTATTGTTTTTATTGTTGTTACTAAAATTTTGATTTAAGGTATGTAATTTTCAAACTTAAAGGTATTTTAGTATTTATAGGATGTATTGAAATAAGTATATTAAGAATGCTAAGTGAGTTAGAATAGTTTGCACACAATATCAAAAGCCACGAAGAAAAACTGATTGGACCTCTACCATTTAATTTACATTCTAAGACAAGACATAATAGATTAAGCAGTATTATCAATAAATTCTTATGTATTTATATATGTTTGAATTGTGTCCCCTAAATTCATGTGTGTTTCCTACATGTAACCAGTCTGAAAGTAGTAAGAAAGCCACTGAGTACAGCCTTCTAGAACCAAAGTCACCTACATTCGATCCAAGCTTTGACGTTTGTTAGCTGTGAAACTAGATTATTATCCTATAGTGTCCACCCAACAACACTTTAGTAAAGAATGAACTTGACAATGTAAAGTATAGTAACATAAATCATAGTGTTGGAAATGCCTTTGAAAAGATCTTTGAAAATCTTTGAAAAGATTGATATACAATAACTAAATTTGAAAAATAATAAATTTTATATTTTTAAGAATATAACCTGATATATTATGTTTATCTAGGAATCATTACAATAAATATGACAATGAACATGTCCATCACACAAAAGTCGATTAGCTGGCCTTCTCCATCCCCCTTTATTATTCAGCTGGCTGAGGCCATTTTCTCTACCTAAATAGAAACCATGGTTACAGAGGGAGGAGATCTTCAAATGCTGGTCTTTGGCAGTATTTTATCCTCAGCATTTGATGGAGAGTGGCAGCAGTAGCAGTTGGCTCCCTCGAGTGTTATAATTCTCGTTCAAGTCCCAGATAGCAGGACTCTTAGCCCTGTGTATCTGTTAGGCATGCCTAGGAAGTCAGGAATCCCGAGCCCTTGTTAGAATCCAGAGTTATAGCTTCTGGCCTTGGAGTGACTGAGACCCCTACTTTAAAGATTTGACAGGCCTCTGGAACCTTTTCAGCAACCGTAGCCTACTTCTCCATTTGCCTTAACTTTCCACTGTTTCTCCTCTTCCCTCTACTGCCACTATTCTTTGCTTCCCTGGGCCACATTCGTGACTTCTACAGCTGTATCTTACTGTGGTAGCTTTACCACAGGCATGACTTCACACAAGGCAGATACTGCCAGCCTTTGCTGGCACTACTACTGTTCCTGCTGCTGTTGCTGCTGCTGAAGTTGCGTGTCTGGAGGCTCTTCCTCTTTGTAGCTGGCCATCCTGCAGCGTTTGCAACTCAGCATGCCAACTCCCCCTCCTGCTCTGCCTCTGTCACGCAGCCAGCTGCTTTACAGTTTCTGTGGCTCAGAGTACTGGCTAGTCCCCTGTCAACACTCTACTGTCTCTACTGCAGTAACACTCTAGTACCTGCCCTTTCTTTCTTCTTGTTAATAGTTAGACATGCTCAACTAAAAGTAGGTGACCTAATATTATAACATCAGTGGAGACAGGGTGAGAAGTTGTTTTCTGACCAGCTTATAAGATGAACTAAACAGTCCACTTAGCTAGTCAAAATCAAGATGTTTGCACGAATCACAGCAAACATCTCAAAGCAAAGGAAGGCTTGTGTTTATACCTAGCGTGATTTTTTTTCACAGATCTCTGAGATCCCTGTGCTTAGATGAAAATGGCCTTAATGTCATCTAAAGTTCTCTAAAAACTGTGATATCAAAACTGTGTTTGCACAAAAACAGCAGTAGCCTTTTCTTTAAATTTTCTATCCCATGTGTGAATTATTCAGAATTCTTTTGCTCATTGACAGGATAGTGAGTGGTACTTGGGAGATAATCTTACTAGACTGACTGTATTAGTTATTTTGTGCCATTGTGACAGAATACCTAACAAACAGTGGACCTGAACTTTGAGGGGCTCATGGACTCTACACTGACAGCTGGGGATCCTGCATGGGACCGAGCCCATTTTCATTTTTAACCATTGCGCTTCATAGAGCTCAAAGACAATACATAATTAACTTAAAGCCATTTCTAAAGAGAGATTGAAGCCAATGTTATGCATTTTATGGGCTCTGTTACCCAGCAAGTCACCAGAGCTGTGTTCTGATGAGTTGAAGGGCATCTTGGAAATTCACAAAAGGAATGCAAAAGAGATTGGAATTAAAAAGACCTGGAGATGACTCCATTTCTGCCAATGCCTGGCTCTGTTCGTTGGGCTGTGTATTTAACCATCTTTTACTGTGTTCTGGTCTGGGTTTTTGTGTTTGTTTGTTCTAGGGTTTCTGGTTTCATTTAGGTTTTTTGTTTGTTTGTGTTTTTTTGTTTTTTGTTTTTTGTTTTGTTGTTGTTGTTGTTGTTCTTGAGACAAGGTCTCTCATTTCCAGGCTGGCCTCAAACTCATGAAAATCCTGTTTCCTGTTTATCCCTAGTACACAAATGGACTTTGGGAGCCCACTCCACATAGAGAGATACTCTGTCAGCCTAGACGCTAAGCTGGGGGTCTAAGCCCTGCTCCAAATGCTATGACAGACTTTGAAGATTCCCCCATGGAAGGCCTCACCCTCCCTGGGGAGCAGAAAGGGAATGGGATAGGGGTTTAGTGGGGGGCAGGAGAGGAGGGGAGGGAGAGAGAACTGGGATTGACCTATAAAACAAGCTTGTTTCTAATTTAAAATTGGTCTAATTACAATTATAAAAATAAAAAATAATAATTTCCTATCATCCAACAAAGAAAGAGAGAAAGAAAGAAAAGAAAATCCTGTTTCAGCCAGCCAAGTGCAGGCATCCACCGCCATGCAGAGTACAGTATGCCATTTGAATGTATGTTTTCCCCTCTACCACATAGCACTGATACGAATCTTAAATGATATAAAGAATGGAGGTATATTAAGTGCTTAAATAATGGACAAGGACTCTCCTACATAAATGTAGTTAGTTCCCAAGGGAAAAGATCCCCCCCCCCCGTAGAAAATATACTCAAATAAATAGTTTTCTATATACCAAGTAGCTAGTGGTCATTCCATGGCGAACTGAGACTATATTAAGGATAATTTTGATCAGAAGACATCATGGGGTAAATTGGGATCATAGCACATTTGTCAAGTGTTTTCTTTGAGAGCAATTTATACTGTTACTGATATTCTGATATTCTCTCTCCTTTTTTAATTGATGTTTTCTTATGTCTTTTATTTAAAATATATTTTTTTTCCTTAGGGGGAATTTGTTGCCTGTCTTCTTTCCCTGTTACGACAAATGACAGATAGACATTATCAACAACTTCTTAATAGTTTCAACACTAAGGAAGAGCTACGGGTAAGAGATGTTTACATTTTTTTCTCTCCTTTTACTTTCTCTTGTCCTTACTCCTTACTGTTCAGAAGGTTCTTTGGCAATTGTTTTACCTCTTTCCATTAAGTTCTGGTTTTTCTCAGTTTGGTAATAGATCTTTTTTCTGTATTGACTCTCGAGATTTCTTTTACTTAAACAAAGCTATTAACCATTATTTTGGAGAAAGACATCAGATTTTAATCACATCTCATCAAAGTGTGAAAACTAGAAACAGATTAATAGAAGTAGGAAGGCAAAGTGAATAAAGTAGCTCTAGTATGTGGACCAGAAATGTTACCTTAGTAGACCACAGGGGAGAAGACTCACACAGATTGGCTGGTCTCCTCCTGTAAGGAGGAGAAATTTTGGCTGCAATTCTGTGAGTAGAAACATAGAATCATTTAGAGTGACAAGTACACAGAGGGTCTGAACACTTACCTGCTCACGGTAGGAAAATCTGTGTATCAAAAGGAAGAGAGTGGGCTAATTAACTTTTAAAATTAACTACCTAAAGTAACTTTGCATAAGAAGACTGTGGTTTCATGTCTCTAGTTTTCCCAAAAGAAGGCTACATTTTTGTATATAGCCTGGGAATTAAAAAATATAGAAGCATAAATTGAAAGACGTTATTAGTTTAATGCAGGTATTGTGTTTAATGCTTACTATTCATATTGACAACAAAGCAAATGGAAATAATGAGTGAATGTTTCATGTGGGTTTTACTTCAGTCAAATGGCACCATGTCTCAAAGAACATATAATTTCCTCTGCAAAGTGGCCTGGCCTTCAAACCAGAATTATTTAAGGATACTAGTTCTTAATCTGTTGTCCAGAAAATATAGACCAGGAATGTCATACATAGAAAGCCCACATCCTGACATTAGAGATATGACCAGGCACAAGACATCTTGTTGCTCTGGGGGAGGGGGAGAATTGCCATTTGTTCTGAACACCTTGACTGATGAGCATACAGGGCAAGCACACATAATACTATACAATAAGTAGGACTTGCTGTCAACCCAGACACAAGCCAACAGGAACACTTTCTAAGGGAGGTGTTGGATGAGAATATATATTAATTAGCTCATCATTAAACTTGTGCTTGAGCTGCAGACAGAGCTTGCCCAACATTCAAATGTCCATTTCCCAGCACTGTAAAATGAATGAACAAATGAATGCAATGTCACTTCAGTGACCTGACATAGCACATACCTCATTAGTCTATCTTTTTAACAGTTATTGGAACCTGGATATTTTTGTTTGTTTATGTGGCTTTCTCCAGATACTGGGTTTTAAATTATTTGATATTTAAAGCTCTGGTTGGTTCATTGCTCTGAGTTCACATCCCTAGGCATTCAAGCAATATATGTTCGCTATTTGATGGAACATAAAGCCTTTAGAAGCAGCATCATAAAACATAAAAATCTGGGAGTGGATATGTTTTGAGGGCATGGATGGTTTTAAGAAGGGAGAAATGTGATCCCATTTGTCTGGTTGCACAACTGAAAATGGATTAGCCAAGGTCCAAATAGGAGACAGAACCATGTAAAGAATTTGATATAGTAATCTAAGCTAGAAATGACTGTGACATGTGTCAGTTAGCTTTAGCTGTCCACTTCATACAACCAAGAGTCACCTAGGAAGTGGGAGCCTCAGTTGAGGAGGTGGCTGGATCATATTGCCTGTGGTCAGTGTCTGTGAGGCATTTTTCAAGTTTTGAATTGGTGGAGGAGGGCCAAGCCCACTGTGAGTAGTGCTTTCTCTTGGCAGGTAGGCCTGGGTTGTATAAGAAAGGTGAGTGAAGAAGCCAGAGGGAGGGAGCCAGAGAGAATGTTCCTCTGTTGGTTTCTGCTTCCAAGCCCTACCTTGAGTTCCTGTCACAGTTCCGCTTGATGACAGACTATAGCACGTAAACTAAAACAAACCCTTTCCTCTCCAAATTACTTCTGGTCATGGTTTTTTATCACAGCAACGGAAAGCATACTAGGACAGCCTGAAACAGAGACATTCACAGAGTCTGAGTCTTAGTAAAGTTGGGAACTTGAATTAATAGGACTAGATGACCCCCCCAAAAAAAAAGAGTGAAAAAATGAGATCTCTCCAACCCTTAAAACTTTTTAAAGGTAAAGGCGGGGGGGGGGTAACTAGAGAAATGGCTCAGATGTTCAGAGCACACACAGCTCCTCAAAGGAATTGAGTTCGATTCCCATCAGCTCACAACTGCCTGTAAGTAACTCCAGCTCAAGAGGATCTGATTCCCTCCTCTTGTCTCAGTGGGAACCTACACACACACACACACACACATACACACACACAAATAAAAATTTTCAAATCTTAAAGTATTTTTTTAATTAAAAAAAAGTGAAGTTGGGGAGGAGTTGACGCTTCCCAAGCTTTGCAACCACTAGGTAGTTGTTGGTACCTTTCACTGCATAGGGATATAAAAGGTGTAGATGTGCAGGTTTGGAAGCAAGATAAATCAGACTTTAGTCTGAGTTTAGTTACTTAAGAGATATGGAAACTGAGGTGCTTAGTAGACAATATCTAAAGTTCAAGAAAGACAGCAGAACTGCAGGTATAGATATGGGAACTGTCATCCTATAAGTAAGTGATATTCCAAGAGTAAATGTGAACACTCAGGAGCATGGACAGCTAAAAGGGTCTTCTAGAGTCAGAAGTATTAAGGAGTGAAGTATAGGGGAATCATGAGAAAGTCCGCTTCAGAAACCTGATATGGTGCATAATACTGTACGTTATACTGTAGCCTGCCAGTAAGATCTGCAGGAGAATGCAGCATCTCCTGTAGAGAAATAAATAATTCAGGTGAGATTTTTGATGCCAAATGGCTTATAAAATTAAAGCGTTTTAGAGCCGTTGTAGATTTTGATATCACAATAAAGACCTAAAGACCTCTAACAATAAACATGGTATGTAGATTTAAGTATGAAGCAAGCACCATTCCTGTAAGTGATTAACGTTAACTCATTTACTTCTCTAAAGGAAAGTATGAGGTAGGACCAGTTATTGTATTACAGATGTCAATTATTTGATTCAATAAACATTTACTGAGTACATTGACTAGACAGTAGGTATATCAAAGATAATCAAATAATCTTGTGTTGGTAGTAGATAGGTCACTGTTACATCCTTCAATAATAATCACTGCTGGAAGAGGTATGACAATGAACCAGATCCAAACCTTGGAAGCTTAGGTGTTCCTAGGGATTGGCAGATTAGGCTCATGGCCAAATATAGCCTACTGCTTACTTTTATGAATAATTTTATTGAACACACGTACACATTATTGTGATGAATACTTGGGCTTCTCTTTAGATCATATAAACTTTTCACCTTTTACCCAACTAATGTGGTCTAATGTGGTTTCTTTCTTTTTTTTTTTTTTTTTTTTTTTTTTTTTTTTTTTTTT